TCCCTCCCACCCCCATCCCCCCATCCCCCCTGTCTCTGTGGCAGGGCAATCCCCTGTGTTCTCTCTCTCCGAAAAGGAGAAATTTTTAAAAAATAATCTATAGCAGTGTTTCTCAACCTTCTTCCAATTATGGCGCCCTTCCCATCTTGTTTATTTTTTTGTGCCACCCAAGAATCAGTTGGCCCTCAGTCTTATGAAGTAGGATCTCCATTTATGCCATTTTCACTTGTGTTCCCTTTAAAACATTATAAGAACATATAACAGGCAATTTGGCCCATGATTATAAACATTGGTCTAAAGAACCTAAACTAAATGAATGAATAATCAATATGATCCATATAAGAGGGGCTGGAACAGCGAGCTGGTAACATGCTTGCCTTGCACATGGCCCACCTAGGTTTGATCCTCAACAAACCATATGGTCCCCCAAGCCTTCCAGAAGTGATCTCTGAGTGCAGAGACAGGAGAAAGTCTTAAGCACTGCTGGAGTGACCCAAAGACAGACAAACAAAGAATTTATTCCAAAAAAAATTGTCTTTTTTGATTACTTCACAGAGGTCACTATTGTCCATTTCTTCCCCTTTTCCTTTTTTTCTCTTTTCTCATTTCTGAAGTGGTCTGAAGGTCAGCAGATTTATCCTTTTGTTATGAGTATTGGTGATGAAAATGACTATTCAAGAGCATAAAAGCATAAAACAAATCCCTGACCAATAAAGTGGTGACTTTGAAAAGGAAATTGCCCTTCTCCAGTGATGGATTCTGTTTCACCCCTGAAAGCCCACATTGTGAGGGTTTGCAGGGACCCAGGTCCTGGCCCTTGTAAGCAAAGCAGCTGCAAAGTCCCACTGGGAGCTCATGGAGGATGCTCTGGGGATGACCAAAATCTGACCCACTGCCATGCAGCTTTCAGCACTGATCTCCACATACACCTTCTCTTAGCAGCCATAGCCTCCCTCCACCACACACACACACACACACACACACACACACACACACACACACACGCCTTCCTTCCCCTCTTTCTGCTTTTCTACCTAATCAATGCTTAATGTGAGTTTCCAATATTGCAGGTGGTATGCTATACCTATGGCCCCATGATACCCTACTCTGTATTTTACATTTATCATTTTGCCTACGTTTTCTTTCCCCCAAGATTGGAAGAAGCATGAGAATAGCTTTTGGTGAGAAATCTCCAATCAGCTCTGGTGAGAACAATGATAATGGTGGAATGGGACTTAATGGTTAACCTTTAACCATTAAAAATGGGAAATTAGTAGGGGTTGGGGCCTTTTACCCCCAAAACAGCTGGAACAATACCTGCTTCTCTCTTTCCAATTCTCAGGAAGAGTTTTCCAGGTGAAAAGCAATGGTATGGTGGAAGATTATCAGGGGCCAATCTACCTACTCAGAGTAAAAGTTTTGCTGCAAATTGGTTTCTTCTGAACTTTGCTGAGGAGTAGTTCAAATAAATACTTGTTGTCCAAAGAAAGGGGAAGATGGAGTCAAGGAACTGGAGTTGGTTGGGGCCTAATTCAGCATGAGAAGAATAAAATAAGACATTAAACCAAGATATAAAAGGCTTGCTTCCTGATTCATTTGAGAAGGAACTTTGAGATTACAGGATAAGATGCTTGCCGTGCATGTGGCGAGCCCCAGTACTTCAGGCTACTCAGAACAGCACTAGGTAAGCCTCCCCAGTCCCCCCCCCAACACACACACACACACACACACACACACACACACACACACAAAGAAGAAACTTTTGTTTTAAGATTCCTGTATATCTGAATCTAAGGAAACCTTGTCAATATCAAACACTGTGTATTGGTGGGGGGAGGGTACATGTAGGGTGCTCCAGGAACCATGCAGTGCCAGGATGGAAGTTGGGCCCCTTACATGCAAAACACTTACTCTCCTGCTTCAGATACAGTATATTTAACTGCTGGGTTCTGTCATAGTGAAAGTTACTAATCTTCATCCTAAAAACTATCAAACTAGGTTGACTTTTAATTTTCTTTCAAAAAGAATCATAAATAGATTCTAACCATTGTAAAAATAAAGTTAATTGATATTTCAACTTTGACTATGAGTACACTAGGTAACATTAAAAAAAATCCTGAGCCCAAGAAAGTCCTTTAACTGCCCCAAGATAGACCAGGGAAACATCATCACCCCCATATTTGACTGCCATGCGACAATCAGGCATGAGTACCTCACACATACCCAATCACAGCATGCATCATTTCATGCTATGATTACTCGCATTCATGTGCCCCCCCCCCCCATATAGGTGGAAAGCTCTGAAGAACCAGGTATTGTAGTTTATTCATATTTGAACCTTAGCACAGACAGAGATTTGTTAAAGTCTTCTGGGGACACAAAAAAGTAGGGAGGTTTCAGGCTCTGAGCTATGTGACCCCAATACCCTGCACAAGTCAGCCCAAGTACCTAGTCCAGGTCTTTGGCACCTGTCCAGTAGCCCCTTAAGGAGGCTTGATACAAAAGTTTAGACAAATTCTAGCACTTCATTCATGGCCAGTGCAGCTACTTCAAACTTTTCATTAAAGGAGCATTTCAATGTGGGATCAACAGAGCTGAGCAGTTGGTAGCTGGAGCAGAAGCCAAAAGACACTGGGAGAAAAACAGTGAGAGAGAGAAGAGCTAAATCACCTTGGCGGCTAAGCCTGTTAGTGGGGTGGCAGATGCCTGCTTCTTAGGGGGCAGCAAGATAACCCAGTCACAGAGCCGTATCCTCAATGACCTTCCAGTTCCTGAACTCCAATCCAGTTTTCGTGAGGCCTGGCCGGGAGGCCCTTCCGGAAGGCTTTTCGAGCCACGTGGCTGAGTGGTGCAGATTCCGGTCATCCTTCCCTCCACAGTAAACTCTTATTACTTAGGGCAAACTCTGTGGGATCTTTTCTGCACTAGCACAACACAGCACTCAAACCCAGTGAGCACCACGTCCAAAGGCCAACCCTTTGCCAGGCACTGAGCATCCAACAAGTTCTGAAATTAAAGAAATCAGTCAGGGCAAGAACACTGACTGGGGCTGTCTTCCAAATTATCTGAGCAATGCTAAGCTGGAACAAATGGATGATGCTGGTCTATCCCTCCCGTCTCCATATTCATATGCAGTCCCCAGAACCAGCAGGAGCATCATATCTCTGAGAAGGTACATTGGGACCACTTAATTTTTCACTCCACTTCATCTTAAACCACAGGAATGTGACTAAGGATAATTTTTCTCCCACCCTAACTTCCCTGACAAACCTCCAAAGAAGCTGCTCTCTGTCTTGAAAGAGGTTTAATAAAGGTGATCTTCCCACCCTCTCCACAACACACACACACACACACACACACACACACACACAGTGCCCATACCTTTCCCCTGTCTGCTGTATCAGCCCCCTGAAGAATACATACTCCCCAACAAGCCCATGAATCATCCCAGGAGAGGAACATGGATGAAAACTGAGCCCGTGGGTGCTTTCCCTGGTCCCAAGTTAATAAAAATGAAGGAGGGATCACCATTGCCCCCCAACCCCGTTGCCACCTCGTAATGAAGTTTCTTGGCTTCCAGAGAGCAGGCTTCTGCTTCTTAGCAAAGACAGGCCTTATTCAAAACCCTGTCTTCAAGTCAGAGTTCCTGTTCTTGCCCTGGAAGAAAGAAACGTCTTTATGTGGCGAGTATGTAAGGACTTGCCCTCCTCCTGTCCTCTACAAAAGAAGCCTCTGGCTGCTTCTGGTGGCAAAACCACCAATAAAAGGAACGCTGAAAGGTTTCACCTCTCCCTTAGGAAGAGCTTAGGGAGGGGAACAGGTACCCCACCCACACCTAGTGGCACCCCCATTCCCCCAGCCCGCCCAGGGAAGCGCCTGCTTCAGTTCCCCACCTGCATTTGGGAAAACCTGAATGGAAAAGCAGGTTTTGCCCTACCTCCCCTGACCTGTTCCAGTCGACGTGATCTTACGCCTTTGGAATTGAGGGTTTTGAATGTATGTGCCTACCCCGCGCCTGGTATTACGTTACAACCGCCTGAAAATGGAGCCTAGTACCGAGGAGCCGGCCAGCTTCAGAAGCCTTCTTCGTTGCCTGCCATCTAATACATGATATGCAAAGCCTCTGACTTCAGCCAGCAGATATTTGGAGATCGTGTTGGCCCTCAACTAAATGGGGACTAAACTAATGTGTGTTTGGGTCAGAAAGCGAATCAGAAAAGCCACCGGAGGGCACGTCACGGAGTGGGAGCCCTATAAATGCATCCCCACGCTCCGCGTCCGCTGGCAAACGCTCGGCTTCTTGCACTGGGCCGCTCGCGCCACATCTCTCTTCGTGGTGGTTCTAGAACTCGGGCCAGCAGCTCCTCTCCTCGCCGTCGCCTTCTGCCCTTGCAGAAAAGTCCGAGGGCTGGACCCCCGACGAGGAGGAGAGGTCTTCGACGGGCGCGAGGCAAGCCCGCCGCAGCGCTCCACCCGCCGGCGCGGCCGCCCTGGAAGCGCGGGCGCCGCCGCGGTCAAGTTGAGATTGCCCCGTCCTCGCTGCGCCCGGCTCCGCGCATTCCTCCGGATCTCCCCGGCCAGGAGGAGGCGCGAGCCCCGCCGCGGCTCCACGCGCCGAGCGCTCTCCCTGCTCCCCGGGGAGGGCCGCCTCGCGGCACCCACCCGGCCCCCGAACTCCCGCCTCGCGGGCTCCGGCGCCTCCCGGCTGCTCGCCTCTCCCTCCCCCATCGCCGCCGCCTCCCAACCCCTCCCCTCCCGGGGCCCCGCGCCTCCCCTTCCCCCACCCCGGCCCCCCGGCCCGGGCTCTCAAGGACCAGCCTGCGCTCCTGGCGCCCTGATGTCTTCTCGGGACTCTTGGCGCTGGTTGACGTGGTGTCTCGTTCGGATTGCCAGGCAAGACCTCCTCTCCCGCGGCAGCATCCGCCCGGCCCGTGTCGTGCTCGTAGGCGCTGCGCCGGGAGAAGGCGCCGAGCGCGGCCGCCGCGGCTGAGCCACCGCCGCGCCCCGGGCCCGCGCAGCCCCGGCCGAGAGCGCCGCGCACGCAGCCGTGTCATCCTCCTCCCGAGGCAGCGGCGGCACCTCCGACCTCGTCCCGCGGGAGCGCCCAGGGCCGGCGGGGGAGCTGTCGGCATCCCTCGCCCGGCTCGCGGCGGCGGCCGCGGGAGCCTTGGCCGCCGCCTCCTGCGCGCCTTCGCCGCCCGGAGCGACCCCTGGATTGCGAACACTTGCCCCTGACCTCCTGGGCGGGGCGCCGCGCTCCTGCCCTCGGCCCGGATGGGTCTCCTGGCTGGGACTCGGGGCTCCTGGAGTTAATGTCCAAGCGGGGGTCTGCAGAGACCGGATCCGAGGTACGTGGGGCGGCGAGTGGATGGGCGGGGGGGGGGGGGAGCGCCGGGAGGAGCGGCGATGGGCGCTGCGGGCGCGGGAGACAGAGGGGCGCGGCTGCACCCGAGAGCGGGCAGTGATGTTGGAAAGCGAAAAGCCTCAAAGGAGCGGGGGCGCCGGGCTGTCAAAGGACTGGGAGGGTTCAAACGCGGGAGAGGCAGGCTTTGAGGAGAGGCAGGTGGCCTCCCTTGTGGGCCAAAGCTCTCCGGTGCCCCCCTGATGCTGAGGGAACCCGGAAATGTCCTAAAGGGATAGTTTTGCGCCCCGAAACCTCAGTGGGGAGCTCTTCTGTCAATATTCGGGGCGGTGCAGAGCTGGGATCAACTCTGAGCCCACTACGCCAGGGAACTGTCACTCTGAAGGGCCAGCTACGAGGTAGCATAGCGGCTAGTGGAACTTGCAAGTGAACTTCTCTGGGGCTGTTGCAAAGAAAGCGCGGGCCTGGGGCGGACTTGCTGCAAAGGTGCCAAGAACCTAAAAATAGAAGGTTCCCCTCCCGCGCGCCTTCTCAAAAGCCACGTTCCTGGGCCTTTGAGGGGGACCCGATTGCTTGCACTTCTCTAATGCCTGAAACCACCTCACCCTGGGTGAGATTGGAAGAGGGGCTCTTAGAAGAATCCTAGACGCAAAGTCTCCGCCTCGAACAGACTCTTGAAAGTCCACCAAGTCTCCGCTAGGCCGCCAGAATCTGTGTGTGTGCGTTTGTGTGTGTGCGTGTGTGTGCTTTTCTCTTTTTGTGCGGCGTGCTCCCCAATAACACCCCCCACCACCACCACACACTGCCTTGCACCGCCTAAGTGGTGAGTTAGCTGTGGGTTGGCTTCAAGCTGTACCCGGTGCAAACTAACCTCTGGGGCTCGGGAGAGGACTTTTGTGGGAGCCCCCTCATCCTCCTGCGACCCCCGAGATTGGGCCTTGACTGAATCCTTTGACCTTTCCCTTAGTCTTCTGAATATAGTACTGCAAGGACCAGCGGCTGCTTGAAATGCTCGCGCTTGCCCCCTCCCCAAAGCCCAAGTGCAAGGCGCTGACTTGCCTGCGCTGCGAGGGTACCAGTCTAGTCCTCGCGGTTTCGCCAACCCTGCGCTTTCGCTGGCGAGAGCGCGGGAGTGGAAGGGGATGCGGTGTCGCCTTATCAAGAAGGAGCAGGTGTCCGAGGAGCCCGCGCGCCCCCAGCCCAAATACCCAAGCACCCGGACCGGGCAGTCCGGACCCTAGGGAGAGTCAGGCACGCCACTCCCCAGGTTGCAGAAAGCTTCCCGCATCCTTCAACTTTGGTTCCCCCGACCTAGAGGTCAATGATGATGGGGTGATAAGCCCTTGGTCAGTCTAAGGGCTCGGTGAAGCAAAGAAATACACCTTTCAACTCTGTCCCCTATGAGTTTAGAACCATCTTTCCACCAGCACCCTTAGCACCTTTCCTTTTTCTCTCCCTGAGACCTAGATCCTGAAGGCGAAGCCCAAACTTCCCCGCCTGCGTCTCAAGAAGACGCGGGGGCACCGGCGGCGGGAGCCCTCGCCCGCGCGCGTCGTGAGGCTGTCGCGGTGACAGGGGAGGAGAAGGGAGGAGAGGGAGCCTGAACGCAGGTTGCCAAGAAACCAGATGAGGTGGGCTGGCAGGAGGAAATCTCGGGAGGAGAGAGAGAGAGGAAGGATCCCGAGAAACAGAACCGCGGGGGAGAACTCCCAGAAGTTTTGCGGGGAGCATTGGGCTGAGAATGCTCGTTCTCGGGTTTTAGACTTGAGGCAGCCTCCGGGCCGCGTGGGCGCGAGAGGACTCGGGCGGTTTCTGGTGCCCCCTGGTGCCGGGAACCCAGAAGCGCCCCACCGCGAGCGGCTGCTTCTTGCTGGGGTTGCTCTGGGGGGGGGGGCCCGGGTGCCGGCGCGGCTAACGCGTCTCCTCTGCGCTGCTGCGCGCGTGGGGCCGGGGCGCACCGCCCGCCCAGCCTGCGGAATACGAGCACCAGAGCGGGGACGCCTGGAGGTCCCGACGGGAAGGACAGCGGTGCCCGCATGTGGCAGCGCCGTTAGCCACTCGGAGTGGGGCCAGAGACCCGTCGGGCAGATGTGCTGTGAGAACAGGTTAAAGAGACAAGGGAGCCGCGGAGTGTGGAGGGGAGGAGAGGGGGGACGAAGAAGGGGTTGAGAAAATGATCCCAACAGGCTGATGAGCGACCCCAGACACCCCCACCCCCACCCCAGCCCTGTAACCCGCCAATCCGGGAGCCGGGCCCTTTGGGCGGCAGCGCCCCACGTCTCGGGGAAGGTGGGAGAAGCGCCTTCCCCGCCGCCGCCGGCCACGGGAGCCTGCAGCCACCCCTAGCAAGCGCGGAGTTTTTCAGTTTCCCGTTGTGCCAGCTTCGCCACACTTAGAATTGAGGATCTCCACGTCCAATTCAAAAAGCCCTCTGTGGACCAAGCGGGGGGGTGGGGGGAGAAGGGGGGATGCAAAAGCCTCTTAATGCGGAAGGGAAATCTGGTGCCACTGCCGCTTCCTGGCGGCGGACACCGCGATTTGGAACCGCGCATTAAGCCCGCGCCTCGCGGCTTCGCGGGAGCCGCCTGCCGTGTCGCTCGCACCCGGGAGCTGGCGCCCTGCGCGCGGGGCCTGTGCGGGGAGTGCGGGGAGTGTGGGTGCTCGCCGCGATCGCCGCGAACGCTCCTACATGTACTACCGCTGGTCCATGCGCCCGAAGCCAGAGTCTCAACCGTTTCGCCGGTTGCTGAGCCGCTGTGCGGGGCAGGGAGCACCCATCGCTCCGGGTTGTTGGGACTGCCTGGTCCCTACAAATTCCCCAAGCCCGACAGCTGCAATTTACAGTGAACCAACAGAAGCCCCGAAGGAAATGCATTTATCGCTGCAGCGGTGGGAGGTGGCAGACGAATTAAACGCTTCCCGGGGTGGCCTACTAAGAAACCCCAGGAGGAGAATAGGGGGGTGGGGATAGGGGGAGGAGGGAACAGTCGCTAGAAGGGGAAAGTGCGAGGAAAGAAACTAAATGCTGTTGAAAAGGGACCCAAGTGTTTGCATTTACCTGGAAACTGTCTTACTCTGGCCCTGAAGTTCACTGCGATTTTCCCGAACAATCCGTTATATTTGGGAGGAGAGAGTCGGCTGCGTAAATCTCACTTGAAAATTCCCCTGGACTCTGAAAGTTGAGTGAGCTAAAGGACTGTGCAACACCACATCCCGGAGTGCCCAAGTCACCTGCCCATTTCCAAATTGGATGGGACGCTGTCCGGGTTGTCTTTATCTCTCCGACCTCACTGAGTAGAACCCGAACTCTCTCCCGTCCCACCCACCTCCTCTCCAGAGCCCCAGCAGCTTTAAAATGCCTGGGCTTGAGAGTCGTTGAACAGGAGTGACTCTCGGGGTTAGGGAAGCTAGCTGGAGCGGGATAGAGAGGGGGAAATGCAGAAATTTAAGGCTAGAATGTCACAGTGCTGCAAACAGAAAATCAAGGGAAGTGGTGAAGAACTAATATTTTGGAGGTCGATGCGATCTCTACTTCCTAGCCGCGGTGGGAAGGCGTTTATTGAATGCTGACTTTACCTTCTTCTCAATCCTTTCATGAGTTATTTCCTGTTCCTAACCTTAAAAGGTAGAACTACTGTTGTCAAACCGAGTTGAAGTTTCAGAAAGTAACCCCGGAGACTTTCCCATTCCGACCATAAGTCTAAGATCTTGCAACTTTCTTCCAGTGAACAAATATCTAGATGGGAAGCGTTAAAGGAAGGCCAACAGTTGAGGGAGGGAGGAGGGCGGACCGCCGTCGGAGAGGCCCGCTGGACCTGGCTAGGAGCTGTATCAGGGCCCCGGGAAGGGGCCGGGTGCAATTGATTTTATTCCTGAAGTGAAAGGCGGCGGTTTGCTTGGCGTTGAGGGTTGGTTCAGGGCCGGGGGAGCCAGGCGGGAAGGAGCGGTCTCTTGGGCAGAATAGCGGGGTGCACCGTTGCCCTCCCCCCCTTTCCCACCGCCAACAAGGAGTGGAGGAGAAACTGCAGGACAGTCGAAGAGACTAGTCAGGAACCCTGGGATCTCTGTGTTGGGATCCGTGAGGACAGTGGTTCTGCTAGGCACTGTGACCCTCCGGATCCGGTGGCACCCCAAGAACCAGCCCCAGGGAGAAGCCGCCTCCAAAAGGGGAGCCTGGGGAAGAAGGAAACGGGGAGTCAGGAAGAAAGGCAGGGGTGCCCAGGGAAGCTGTGGGCCGCAGCCGCAGAGAAGAGTAGGGACTAGGCGTGGGGCGGGAAGGTTCGCAGGCGCCCGCGGGGATGGGCGTCCCCTCCTCTAACGCGCCTTCCCCGCTTCTCTCGGCCGCCCGCCCAGGTGCCGCCGCCGGACGGGACTCTAAGATGAAGTTATGGGATGTCGTGGCTGTCTGCCTGGTGCTGCTCCACACCGCGTCCGCCTTCCCGCTGCCCGCCGGTAAGAAGCCTCCCGAGGCGCCCGCCGAAGACCGCTCCCTCGGCCGCCGCCGCGCGCCCTTCGCGCTGAGCAGTGACTGTAAGAACCGAACCCTCCCCCGCGGGGGGACGCTGGCGGAGCCCCCACACACCCCGCCCGCTGCCCGCGCTCACGCACTCACGCGCGCGGCCAGCCTCCCGCGCCGGTGCTGATGCCTGGCTGCAGCCCAAGGGCCCCTGGCGGTTTGTCGATGGCACGTGCTGGTCATTTAGGAGGTAGCTCATGGGACCTCCTTTCAGTCTCTTCTTCATTCCCACACCCCCCGCCGTCCGTCTCTCTGACTGTCTCTCTGTCTCCGTATCTCTCTCTCTGTCTATTACTATTTCTCTCTCCCTCCTTCCCCCCTCCCTCCCTCTCTCCCTCTCCCTTTTCATCTCCCTCTCCCTCTCTTCCTCTCTTCCCTCTCCTCTGTCTCTCTCACTGTACCTTCACACCATTTCTTCTTTCTCCCCTATTCTGTTTGGGTCTGTTGGTCTGACTAGTGAATTTGAAAACGATGGCATTTCCCTCCTAAACTGAGCTTGCAAAGGAACAGATTTTCCTCAAACCTGGCTAAAGTCAGAGGTGACCCCGAGGGCCTTCTTTTTCAATACAAGCAAGTAGGTCTGTCACATCAGTCCAGAAACACTTCCAGTTCTAGAGAGACTTCAAGGTAACTAGTGCTCAGTAAGCCTGAAGGCAGGGACAGCTCCTCCTGTCCTGTGCACATGACAATGCTAGCTCTAAAGAAAAGGCAAGCTGGGTCACATTAGAAAATAAACCTGGGACTGAAGCCACAGGAGTTAAAGAACTTGCCTTGCATACACTGAGCCCAGTTTGATTCCTGGCACCACCTATGTCTCCTGATAAACACCATAAATGATCCCTGAGTGCAGAACCAGGAGGAAGCACAGCCAATATTTTTTCTCTTTTGGCCAGAAAACCAAAATAATAATTACTATTATCAATAGCACTGCACTGTAGCACTGTCCTCCCGTTGTTCATCAATTTGCTTGAGCGGGCACCAATAACATCTCACAAAAAAATTGTGAGACTTGTTGTTACTATTTTTTGCATATCAAATATGCCAAAAACTTGTTGTTACTGTTTTTGGAATATCGAATATGTCATGGGTAGCTTGCCAGGCTTTGCCCTGCAGGCGAAATACTCTCGGTAGAAATGGAACCCCGGTTGGCCACGTGCAAGGCGAATGCCCTACCCGCTGTGCTATTGCTCCAGCCTTGATTCTCTGTATGAAAGATGTTTTAGATAGCAAGCTTATTAGGGCATGTCCCCTGATAGAACTTACTCGCTGGTCTTCAGAATTTGGTCTGTGCATAAAGAAAGGTATGTAGCATCATGTATCAGAGGTGGCTGGGCAGGTATAAAAGAGCAATAGGGATTTTGACACAATAAGGCAACAGTGAACTGTAGCCAGGCTATCATTCAGGATCCCCTCTCACCCCAGCGCCACCCCCCTCACCCCCCCCCCCACAATACCTCATGGCTATGCTAGTTATTTTGCACTTGAAATGTACTCTGGCCATATGTACAGTGGAAGCACCACCCTCCAGGTCAGCCTTAAGTTGAGAGGCCCCTGCACTTTATAGGCGTGAACTGAAAAAACGAACAGCTCAGGAAATGGGTTGGGCTTATTTTATGCTTCATTGTAGTAAAGGCATCTTCTTCCAGACACTCTGAGAGAGGAAAATTGTGATTCCATAAAGGAAGAGAAAGACAGACAGACAGACTTGGGGTTGGAAAGAGAACAAAATTGACCTCTTAAAATTAGAGCAACTCTCCCAAGAGTTTCTGTCAAATAATTTTATAAACCTATTTTTAAAAACCTTAGTATCAACCATGAATTTCCATTCATATTCTGTGTAAATTTTTCTAGATGGAACTTTTAATATTTTTTTGGTGCCATTGTAAGGTAAAAGGTAAAAAGGTAAAGGCCCTCCCGTTGATCGTCGATTTGCTCGAGCGGGCCCAGTAACGTCTCCATTGGAGACTTTGTTGTTACTGTGTCTGGCATATCGAATACTCTCGGTAGCTTGCCGGGCTCTCCGAGAGGGGCAGAGGAATCGAACTCGGGTCGGCCATGTTGGCCGCTTGTAAGGCGAACGCCTTACCCGCTGTGCTATCGCTCCAGCCCATTGTAATAATAAATAAAATAAAAAGGCCCTCCCGTTGATCATCGATTTGCTCGAGTGGGCCCAGTAACGTCTCCATTGGAGACTTTGTTGTTACTGTGTCTGGCATATCGAATACGTCACGGGGAGCTTGCCAGGCTCTGCCGTGCGGGCAAGATTCTCTCGGTAGCTTGCCGGGTTCTCCGAGAGGGGCGGAGGAATCGAACTCGGGTCGGCCATGTTGGCTCCAGTGGCGCAATCGGTTAGTGCGCGGTGCCATTGTAAGTAGTTTTTTATTGGTTCAAACAGTCTAGGCCAGAGAGACAGAACCACAGTGATAGAGAATATTCTGACCTCTGACCAGGACATCAGGAGAGAAAAAGTACCTGTGCCTTATGACAAACCAGATGCACTCCTAGAGATTTCATTGGTATCCTGCATCCTGTCTCCCTAGGCTTATTTAAATGTTAGTACCTATTTTCTGCCTTTGCTTTCTACTAACTCTGAGTTTGGACTTACTTACTTTAAAATTTAATGAACAGTTGCAACTATATTATTAAGAGAGGCCTTTCTGCTCTAAAATACCTATGGGCCATTAGATTTGCCACCTAGCCTTAATTCTCTGCCTTAAATTCTTTGGAGAGTTCTTTGGAAAGAGACTCCTGAGAATAAATTCCTGTTCACTGGAATTATTACCTGGAGAACTTGAAAGAACCCTGATGCTGAATGGCACCCTCTAGTTAACTGTGTGTTAACTAGAGATTCTGATTTAGTTGCTTTGGCGCATAGCTGAGTATCTGGATGCTTATTTCCCCAGATGAGTCTAATTGTACAGTCAGGAGCTGAATTGCCTTTGACAAAATAACTCCCTAAGACTGTGCTTCATCTAAAGCACAACTAGTCACAAAGCAAACAAAGTAGCAGCAATACTTAATATTGTGCAGGCAAGGTTATGATGTAAGGGAAAGGGTCGATGCCCTTTTCAAAAGCTGATGCTCAGTTATGTTGGACAATCTTCTGACTATACTGTTTACATGTGAACCAGCAGATCACACTTAACTCCATCGATCCTAGTAGAAAGTTGAAAGAGAAATGTTCCAAGCAAGAAACTGAGCTGCCTTCTAAGCCAAATTGACTTCCTTCCAGGTATTTTCATTTCAGTAGCAAGCTGTCAGTGCAGGGAAAGCAGAAGAATGACAGTGTGCAGACTTTGAACACTCAACCAGTGTCAACATGCCCGTGTCATAGGGCTGACATTTATATTCTGCTTTGTGCACCTGGTAGCAAAACATTAAGGCATTCATTTATTTGAAGACAGAAAGTACCATAAATTCCAGTCCTTCTTCCCTGGGGATGCTTACAACTCAGTGATCAAGCTCTTCCACACCACGAAGCAATCATTCCACAATGTTAAGCAGGGAATTGAACTCACCCTATCTGCACACCCACCCTAAAGAGTTTGTTTTCTGTTGGTCCCTGTGTAAAAGAAAGAGCCACCATTCTGATGCTAGCATTCTCACAGTATGATCAACCCAAAGAGCATCCATAACTTGCTCACTTGCATGCCTTGTGGTCCACTCTCCAGGAAGTGGGCATGACTGCCTCCTGCAGCAACATTTAACCTATTTAACTCAAACAACTTGTTTTCCTCTGGGGTCCTCCACGACTTTCCCCTGTAGTGATTTCTACTCTTTCATTTTGCTTTTTGCCAATATAGCTTTCAAAAGGCAATGAGTGGGGATAAGGACTCTAGATGGTAAAACTTAACAGCTATCATAGCATTTAAAGCTGCAAGGAAATCCTGGCTGGTCCTTAGACGTAAAGGGTCACAGTAGCTTGTCCAAAGTGACAGAGTTGCTGGGATCACAGTTTCCACAGCCCAGTGAAATGCAGAGCCTTGATTTTGCTATCTAGGTGGTTAGAGGAAGATCTTGAACTAGACTAAAACAGTGTTGCACAAAGCTGTCTGAATTGTAAAGGTTAATTAGTTTTACTCATAGTTTAACCTCAGCTATGTGTCATAACTCTGAATGTGATTTGCAGGAAGAAGCATCGAATGTGAAAAATCAGTAATCTAGGGTCGGGGCATAGTTCAAAGGGTTAGTGTACATGCTCTCGCATGGGGGAGGCCAGGGTTTGATTCCCAGCATCACAGGTCCCCTATGCAATGCTGGGAGTAGCTCTTGAGCAACACACTAGCAGTTGTTCCTGAGCAATATTGGGTGGGATCAAAAATAAAAATAAAAAAATATGATGTAAAAGTACAGCTTCATTCAACAAATAGTTAATATGTGTAGATGCCAGGGATTGTCTTAGGTGCTAGGAAATCTGTGATATACCTAATTAACTTCATGGGATATACCATAATCACAGATAACCCCAAAGCTTATGTAATATAATGAGGTCAGTGCTAAGTCACAAATCTATAGAAACTATCTTATAAGTGAAGTTACTGGATTCCCAAACTAGCCCACAAAAATCTATGTAAGCCGTATCACTGGATCAGAATTCACATTTTGAAGCCAGAGTCCCTGTGCAGGGTGCCAGGTCCCCTAATCTGCAGAAGGAGGGAACAGAGCATGAAATCAGAGTTTGCACTAGCAAAGCTCAAGTTCCCAGAGCCAGATCAGACCATGGTTTGGATCCCATCCTTGGTGCTTAAGCAGCTGTTACTTAACATCTCTTAAACCTCAGCAGATTAATCTACTACCTACTGTGTAATAGAGAGAATAGCATCAATAATAAAAAGTTATAATATTCTTCAAATACTCCAAAGGTAGATCTTCTGCACCCACCCAATAATTATGTTTTCTCCTCTTGCTTCAGCCTCTGCCAAGACGTTGTTTTTAATTGGTGGCATTTCCAGCAGATAGCACATGGAGGGTAAAAGACATGCAGCCCCTCACTGAAGATATTTCGGTCCTCACA